TAGACCACGATACACCACGTTCGCCATCGTAGAAAAGGACTATGCACACCACAAAGATATATTTTAAGATATTTTTAAATGGAAAAGTCAAATTTATAATGTTAATAAATTCAATGGTTTTATAAAATATGTGGTTTTTTATTAATGTTTAACATCCGTAAGGGGATCTTCCGACAGGTTCACACAACACTCCACTCGCATGTTAACCATGTTACGGACCAGAGGGAAGATACCGGAGAACCCGGAGAAAAACCCTCGTGTCAAGGRAGAGAACGACACATTAAACAAACTCAATTTGTATATGAGGTTCAGGCGAGAATCGAGCTCGCGACTCTAAGCATGAAAAACACAGCGATAAGATACAGTGCTACTATGTTTGAGTTGATAATGGCATGGCACGGACCCGGCCGTCGCGCAAATGATCCTGACAATGATTATAGGAGAATAATCCAATGAGCGAGCGTGTGGGCATGTGTCTTCATTCATACTCGTAAGGGAACACGATCACGGTCACCCTCACGCCTCTCTCTACTTTTCATCCTCATACGAAATCCCTTCTATTTACTTTTCCATGTAAAATATTGATAGATTTGAATTGGGTGTCAAAAAGGAACAAAAGAAACGAAAAAAAGATAATTTACTATTGCCTTKTCAACCCTCAGCTGGTTTTGGACCGTAGAAAATCTGTTTCACGGACGTATATAAGTTCAATAAATCGCGAGGACCAGAACAATACAATTATTAAACTAACAATACACAGGCAGTAACGCTGGATGTTACATAAAGAAAGAGCAATGCATAACCYATGTAAAATATATCATGGCTCTGTCTATATTAAGGTGAAAATAGGGTAAAAAGATAAGTGTTTATAGTTGACATCAGGTGTGTCTTTGCAGTAGAATCGCCCAAATCTTTTCCTATAGGGAGCCTAAGAAGCACAAATTTATGTTGCAGAGGTAGATCACTTTTACAAGAGTGTGAAAACTAAGCCCTCGCAGTCGAGAAAGTGTCTGTTACACGCCTCGTTAATAGGGACCTTAAGCTGCAGGACGATAACGCGGGCGACAACGTCGGCGAAATTGAGGCGCTTCAACCTTCTATTGTGTTATTATTTCGTGTTTACCTAGTATTTTATATAATACATAAAGTTAAAGACATTAACCTAGTTAAAAGCACAAGGTAATTGCGACAGATAAACTGATTGAAGCAATTAGAAATTTTGAAAATTTACATTTTTTAGGTCAGGCACTGAAAAAGTAATAGTAAAATACAAAAAGAGGAGGGGGGAGAAAGAAGAATAAAAAATAGAATAAAACATAGAAGATGTTTTAAAGTCGTACAAGTCTTGTTTTGAATAAGATTTTTTGCGAACATAGAAGATGTTTTAAAGTCGTACAAGTCTTGTTTT